TGAATATATAGAATGATCTTTTGAATATATAGAATGAAACTTGAATATATAGAATGATCTTCTGAATATATAGAATGAAACTTGAATATATAGAATGATCTCTTGAATATATAGAATGATCTTTTGAATATATAGAATGAAACTTGAATATATAGAATGAAGCTTGAATATATAGAATGATCTTCTGAAAATATAGAATGAAACTTGAATATATAGAATGAAACTTGAATATATAGAATGATCTTTTGAATATATAGAATGAAACTTGAATATATAGAATGATCTTCTGAATATATAGAATGAAACTTGAATATATAGAATGAAACTTGAATATATAGAATGATCTTTTGAATATATAGAATGAAACTTGAATATATAGAATGAAACTTGAATATATAGAATGAAGCTTGAATATATAGAATGTATGAACCTCTTTTTTAGAGATGATGTGTTTCTGAATTCTCTGCCTTTACAAAATGGCATCAGCTGAACTATTTCAGTACTTTTTAGAGCTTGACAACTGTTTTGCGACAGCTGTTCAAATTGCAAATTTCCATAGTCCACTAGTTGTATCCTGTGGTTGTACAGTGTTCGAACATTTACTGACAACATTTGAGATATGGCCATCCAACTAAACCCCAAGTCTCGCATATCAGTCAGCTCAGTAGCTGGTATGTTGTACCTAAAAGAGTTAGAAACAAAAGAAGAAATATGTTAACTTCTTTCTTATTTCTTGCATTCATTATCTTGTTTGCCATCTCTTGACTCTTTCAAGTGCCATACACATTATGAATGAATTTGTTTCCATTTTTATCACTTACCTTGGCCTTCCTCTTTGAGATGTAGAATGATATAATGAGCCCATAACATGTGCTTCAGCTTCTGCTCGAAGTTTTAGCTCAGTTGACATCTCCATCAGTGATTGATAAATTCCCTCAAGAAGTGTGCATAATCTTCTCCCAGAAACATTTTGTTGAACATTATTCATGAGCACTAGAAATGTTGCAATAATGAAAACGAGTTCTTCAAGGTGACGTAGTATAAATTCAAATTATTTCTACCATTTGCAATTTGAACAGCTGTCGCAAAACAGTTGTCAAGCTCTAAAAAGTACTGAAATAGTTCAGCTGATGCCATTTTGTAAAGGCAGAGAATTCAGAAACACATCATCTCTAAAAATGAGGTTCATACATTCTATATATTCAAGTTTCATTCTATATATTCAAGCTTCATTCTATATATTCAAAAGATCATTCTATATATTCAAGCTTCATTCTATATATTCAAAAGATCATTCTATATATTCAAGCTTCATTCTATATATTCAAAAGATCATTCTATATATTCAAGTTTCATCCTATATATTCAAGTTTCATTCTATATATTCAAAAGATCATTCTATATATTCAAGTTTCATTCTATATATTCAAGTTTCATTCTATCTATTCAAAAGATCATTCTATATATTCAAGTTTCTTTCTATATATTCAAAAGATCATTCTATATATTCAAGTTTCATTCTATATATTCAAGTTTCATTCTATATATTCAAAAGATCATTCTATATATTCAAGTTTCATTCTATATATTCAAGTTTCATTCTATATATTCAAAAGATCATTCTATATATTCAAGTTTCATTCTATATATTCAAGTTTCATTCTATATATTCAAGTTTCATTCTATATATTCAAAAGATCATTCTATATATTGAAGCTTCATTCTATATATTCAAAAGATCATTCTATATATTCAAGTTTCATTCTATATATTCAAGTTTCTTTCTATATATTCAAAAGATCATTCTATATATTCAAGTTTCATTCTATATATTCAAGTTTCATTCTATATATTCAAGTTTCATTCTATATATTCAAAAGATCATTCTATATATTCAAGTTTCATTCTATATATTCAAGCTTCATTCTATATATTCAAGTTTCATTCTATATATTCAAGTTTCATTCTATATATTCAAAAGATCATTCTATATATTCAAGTTTCATTCTATATATTCAAGTTTCATTCTATATATTCAAGTTTCATTCTATATTTTCAAGCTTCATTCTATATATTCAAAAGATCATTCTATATATTGAAGCTTCATTCTATATATTCAAAAGATCATTCTATATATTCAAGTTTCATTCTATATATTCAGACTTTGGTTGCAATATATATATATAATATTTTCCTAAAGGGCATTCCATAATATGTATGTATATATATATATATATATATATATATATATATATATATATATATATATATATATATATATATATATATACACACATATATACATATAAAACTGGGTCTTATATATAAGACCCAGTATAGTAAAGCTTGTGTACTTTTGAAATGAATTACAATCAACACAAGTAATTAGAGGCTTAAGTTGTCAAAATGAGAGTTGCACACCTGCAGCGATGACAACTCATTAAACGGTAAATAAATAAACGATTGATTTATTTAACTGGTGAAACATTGTGTAATAATCTTATTTTGCATTACTGCAATTTTCCACAGCAGTGGTCATTAATTGAATTAATTGAATCATAATGTGTATGCAGTAATAAGAACAAAAGTATTGCGCTCTACTTCACTAAGCACGGAGTAGGCATATCAGAGGAGGGGGTGGGGGAACCAGGCAGGCAAGTCGAGCTACACGGCATCACACCATACACACAAAACATACCCCACTCTTCTGCTCAAATCATATACCAAGCACACCCTCTGAATTTAAGCAGAATCTTTTTTCCCCTCTGACATGTCAGTGGCACTGTTGCCTTGCTTTGCTGCCTCCTGTTTCAATCAATCCACCGCCCCAGCATACACCTGTAGGCTCTGGTGGATATTTACTTATCACTCCCCAGGTTTTCTGTGTAGTATATTTGTGAGCTTGGAGCCTAGATGCAGAACTCTAAATGTTTTCTGCTGCTGATATGAATCAATCATTTTAAATGGGAGCTGCCTGACTGCATTGATTGTGTGGAATCTTACTGGGAGATTTGGCCCAAATTAGTTTGTACACATAAAATTAATCATTAAATAAAGTGGATCATATTTTGCATACTTCCCTAGTTAAGATTTAATGCTCTGAGATACAGTAGACAACATTACAGGCTACATGAGAAAAACGGAAAACTGTTGAATACAATAAACAATAAACTACTACAGTATAAGCCGGTGCTGACTGACATACCCTTACAAACCTAACTTGTTTTTCTTTTTACGGATGGAATCCTGTTAAGCCTTTTTACACACTAATGCAATAATTGATTGATTTTTCTATTCAGCTGGTCACAGTGGTTCCACATATACAGCACTCTGGGAATTATCACATAGATGTTGACTGAGGAAGAGACACCAGAATCAAAAGTTGCTTTTTACTGATGCTGTTCCTCTGAGACAAGCTGTAACTGTGGACACACCTGTGAGTCAAACTTTGCAAGACAGACAGATACAAGAGTTTGTGTGTGAATGAAAAGAAAACCAGTTCAATCAATAGACATTATATACTGTATACTCATAGGCTACCTGTTTCCCTGCACAACACAAATCTGATCAGCCAATCAGATGCTGGCAGCTCAGCATATTTAGCCATACGGACATGATGTCAAGATGTCCTGCTGATCTTCAAACGAGCATGAGAATATGGAAGAAATGTGATGTGAGTGACTTTGAACATGGCGGGGTTGTTTGCCCTTTAGTGCAAACTGAGCATCATTAAATGCCACATGCATGAGTATTGTTACTGTGTCCATCCTTTTATGAACACAGTGTACTGATCTTCTGATGGCTGTTTCCAACAGGATAATGCACCATGTCACAAAGCAACAACCTGAAACTAACAAGGTGTGCCTAATAAAATGTCCAATTTCCTGAAGTCTACACATCTATATGCCTGTGAAGGTTCTCAGTCATCCATGTCATCGTAGTCAAAGGAGCTTGCAAAGAAAAGCGTCTGGACTTCTTTAAGTTGCTTGAAGACGTTTCACCTCTCATCCGAGAAGCTTCTTCAGTTCTAAGGTCAAATGGTGGGAAGTCCCAGATTTAAACCTAGTGGGAGTATCCCCCCGCAGAGGGACAAAAGGACCCCCTGATGATCCTCTAATCGCCTGAGCCAAGGTGTGAAACTGGGTGTGGGTCCCAATCAGCCAGAGTTTCGGGTGAGCTCATTGTGAAACCTGGCCCCACCTAATCATGCGAATTCCTGAGATCAGATGGCCAAGGATGTGAGTGGGCGTTAAGGCATCTGGATTATAGATGGCAGAGAGTTGGTGTCGTAAACCACCGCCTCTGTTCAAAGATGGTCGCTCACAGTGGACATAGATGGCTTCTTTCACTCCTCTTTCAAACCATCTGTCCTCTCTGTCCAAAATGTGAACATTGGCATCCTCGAAAGAGTGTCCTTTATCCTTAAGAAGCAGATGGACAGCTGAGTCTTGTCCTGTGGAGGTGGCTCTTCTATGTTGTGCCATGCGCTTGTGAAGTGGCTGTTTGGTCTCTCCGATGTAGAGCTCTGGGCATTCCTCGCTGCACTGTACAGCATACACCACATTGTTAAGTCTGTGTTTTGGAGTTTTGTCTTTCGGGTGAACCAGTTTTTGTCTGAGCGTGTTGCTGGGTCTGAAATGCACCGGGATGTCATGCTTGGAGAATCATCTCCAACTCAGCCGCAGCTTCATCTGTGACTAGCGGAACTTTCAAACAGCCGGTCTCTGCATTAAATGGGTCGACGAGGAACGTAATCTGTGGCCTTTTCAATTGTAGATCATGGAACCGGGTCACAAAGCGTTCGTGCAAGTTTTCAATCAGCGTTGCATATCTGGCTCTTTGCTTACTCAGGGCAGCGCTGGCGACTTGCCCGCTGGCTTTTAGCAGAGTGGAAAAATGCGTTAAATCTCCCTTTTGAATATGTGTCTTGAACAGCTTCAGTTTGTTGACAAACACAAAAAACACACTTTGCACCAGGTCAGGCAGCATTTTTAACTTACCCTGCAGGGTCAGGTTCAGTCTGTCCAAGTGACACAGCATGTCGACCAAAAAGGCCAGATCCATAATCCACTTGAGGTCCGAGAGCTCGGGATAGTCCTTGTCCTTCTCTTCCATTGTCAGGTTCGACGGTGCCCCGACCGGCGACCTGTGTGTGTGTGTGTGTGTTTGTTCTCCCGCTCTGTTTTTGTCTCCGTTGTAGTTGTTACGCGGTTGCGTAGCAACGGGAGATGTCCGACCCGGAAGTTCCGCCACTCTGAGTGGTCCCACCTGCAACTGATTCCTCGCCAGCTGCTGCCAATCATCCACCATTGTGACAGAACTATTTAATGATGTGGCTGAGTGACAGACAGCGCTGGAGTATTCCACCAAGCCGGGTAGTGACTCGAATTCAGCGAGTGTTAGACAAACGTTTGATAGCGGAGGGAGGCTAACCGCATCTGTTTGCCTTTTTTCCAGGCTACGAGTGAGACGGAGATACGAGAGGAGAGACGTCACTGTTTACGAAAGTCGTATGGACACACGAGGGGAGCACGGAAGGGACTTAGCACTATGGATTACTTTGGATTTGCTTCACTGTAAATAAAGACACTGTTCAATCTTAACGAGCGATCCGCGTCTGGGTTCTCTTACTCATCACTCCCGTAACAGAATACTCCAGCCACTTACATGGACCCAGCGGACGCCGCTCCGATTCTGCGAGAACTCTCGATTCAAGGTGAGATGTTGGAACGCCATGAAAAAATGATGAAACATGTTGTTGAAGAACAAACTGTGTTACGGCAGCTGGTTGCTGAATTAAAAGGGATTTTGCTAACTCCCTCTGGGGCTGCAGCTAATGCTCCGTCGCCCGGGCCGTCTCTCAGCACAGCCGCGGCTACTCCTCTGCCTCCTTCCCCTCCCACACTGCAGCGCGAGCACCCGCTGCCGGCCCCTGAGAAGTTTAGTGGGGATCTGGATAAGAGCCGCGGGTTCTTAACACAATGTTCGTTCATTTTTAGAGAACAGCCTCGGTCTTATTTCTCAGATGGAGCCAAGGTGGGGTTAATGGTGGAATCAATGACTGGACGCGCTTTACAATGGGCCCAGGCCGTGGTAAGCATGCAACCTGCTATCTCTTATGAAGATTTTTTGTGCAAATTTTGTTGTGTTTTTGACAAAGGCTCCAGCGCCGACAGCGCAGCACATCGCATGTTTTCCCTGAAACAAGGATGGAGGAGTGTAGCTGACTTCTCGATTGACTTCTGGATTTTGGCCGAGGAGACCGGCTGGCAAGAAAATGCACTACGAGGGGCTTTCATAAACGGCCTGAACGAAAATCTAAAACGTGAGTTGGCCTCAAGAGAACTGCCTAAGTCGCTCAGTGCTTTGGTGAATGTGTGCATTCAGTTGGATGAGCATAGGCGTGAGTTTGGACGGCGACCAGCGGGCGGCAGCAAAACCTCGGCAGGGCCTCTCTCGAGTGGAGACGGGAGTGGGAGGAACAGCCGTTGGAGGAGGAGCAGCCCATGCAGATCGGTCGAGCCAGCTTTAGGTCTGTGGCCCGACGGAGAAGACCTCAGGGGGGTGAGTGTTTCACTTGCGGAAAGAGAGGACACTTTTCTGATAAATGCCCAGAGTCGGGAAAAGACGCTGCTCGTCAGTAGCCGTGGGCATACTGACGGGCGTTACCGCAAACATCTTGCCCCACCTCAGCTGTCCTGCCAAATTGATTTTCCAGTCCTGTATTCACCCATGTAGTGCTTTAATCGATTCGGGGGCCGAACAAAGTTTTATTGACGAAGCCCTGGCCCAGACGTTGGGCATACCTGTTGAACCCTTACCTGAGGTCCTCCAGGTGGCGGCGCTGAATGGTGCCCCCTTGGCCAGTATAACACATCGCACTACTGATTTGACTCTTTCTCTTTCCGGAAACCATGTTGAACAAATCAGCCTGTTTCTGTTCAAGGCTCCTCACACTCCGCTAGTTTTGGGCTACCCCTGGCTCGAACGCCATAACCCGCAGATCGATTGGGAGAACAGCAGGGTAACTGGGTGGAGTCCTAAGTGTCATGAACAGTGTTTACGTTCTGCTACAGTTAGCCAGACGTCCACTAGCCCATCTTCACCTGACGCTCCTCCCGATTTGACTGCAGTTCCAGCTGAATATCATGACCTAGCCCAGGTGTTCAGTAAAGAAAAGGCCCAGTCTCTTCCCCCCATCGTCCGTACGATTGTGGGATAGACTTGCTACCCGGCGCTCCCTTGCCCACAAGCCGTCTATACAGTATTTCGAAATCAGAGCGAGAGGTAATGGAGGGCTACATCACCGACTCGCTGGCGGCCGGGATAATTCGGCAGTCCACCTCTCCTCTCGCGGCAGGTTTCTTCTTCGTTGAGAAGAAAGACAAAACGCTCCGCCCCTGCATTGACTTTCGAGGTCTTAACAAGATAACCATTAAGAACAAATACCCGCTTCCTTTACTCACCTCTGCTTTTGAACTCCTTCAGGGGGCTGCCATCTTTTCTAAACTGGACCTCCGCAGTGCTTATCATCTGGTGAGAATCCGCCAGGGGGATGAGTGGAAGACGGCGTTCAACACGCATCGTGGGCACTTTGAATATTTGGTGATGCCTTTCGGGCTCACGAATGCTCCGGCGGTCTTCCAAGCCATGATAAATGATGTTTTACGGGACTTCATTAATCATTGTGTTTTCGTTTATCTAGACGACATCCTTGTGTTTTCTCGGAACCCAGCTGACCATGTCAAGCACGTGAGAATGGTGTTGCAGCGCCTGTTGGAGAACCGGCTGTTTGTAAAGGCAGAGAAGTGTGAGTTTCACGTGCAGACAGTCTCCTTTTTGGGGTTCATCATCGAGGAGGGACGGCTGCGGGCAGATCCGGCCAAAGTGAGGGCAGTGGTGGAATGGCCTGAACCCAAGAACCGTAAGCAGCTGCAGAAGTTTCTGGGATTTGCCAACTTCTATCGACGGTTTATCCGCAATTTCAGTCAGGTCGCCTTGCCTCTCACCAACCTAACCTCTCCTAAGCAGCCATTCCAGTGGTCTCCCGGCGCTGAACGGGCTTTTGTGAGACTCAAGCACCTCTTTTCCTCAGCTCCGGTGTTGGTACAGGCAGACATCAGTCAACCTTTTTTTGTGGAGGTGGATGCTTCAGACGCAGGTGTGGGGGCAATACTATCCCAACGAGTGAATGCAAAATTACACCCATGTGCCTTTTTCTCCCGTCGCTTATCTCCTGCAGAGTGCAATTACGACGTTGGAGACCGGGAGCTCCTCGCCATTAAGTTGGCGCTTGAAGAGTGGCGACATTGGCTCGAAGGCAGCGAGCATCCGGTGGTTATCTGGACAGACCACAAGAACTTGACCTACCTCCAAGCGGCCAAAAGACTGAATGCCCGGCAGGCCAGGTGGGCTCTGTTTTTCACTCGGTTTAACTTGACCATCTCTTACAGACCTGGCTCCCGCAATCTTAAAGCAGATGCTTTATCGCGCCAATTTTCCCCGGATCTCGACCCAGACGAGAAGGAGAGACCCATTCTGCCATCCTCGTGCTTCGTGGGGGCTCTGACCTGGGACATAGAGCGGGTTATTAAGGCTGCCCAGCGGTCGGAACCTGATCCGGGCACTGGGCCCGATGGGAGGATGTTTGTTCCCGCGGCGGTCCGAAGTAAGGTCCTTCACTGCCACCCGGGTAAAAACCGCACTATCGCCTTTCTGCAACGTTTGTTTTGGTGGCCGACTCTAGGGAAGGACGCTCGGGAGTATGTGGCCGCTTGCCCCGTTTGTGCCCGAAACAAGGTCTCCTGTTCACCCCCTGCTGGCCTCCTTCGTCCATTGCCTGTGCCCAGCCGCCCGTGGTCTCATATTGCACTGGACTTTGTTACCGGTCTTCCCCCCTCCTCGGGTCACACAGTCATCTTGACCGTGATCGATCGCTTCTCGAAGGCTGTTCATTTCGTTGCTCTGCCGAAACTCCCTTCGGCCCTGGATACTGCCAAGATTCTCACGCAGCAGGTGTTCCGTCTCCATGGGGTTCCCCAAGATATCGTGTCCGATCGGGGTCCCCAATTTACGTCGCGAGTGTGGAAGGAGTTTTGTAAGGAACTGGGGGCCCAGGCCAGCTTGTCGTCCGGCTTCCACCCTCAAACCAACGGGCAAGCGGAACGGGCTAATCAAGAGCTCGAAGCGATGCTGCGTTGTGTGGTCTCTTCGAACCAGTCATCATGGAGCGATCAACTGGCGTGGGTCGAATATGCCCATAATGCTAGCACGTCGGCAGCTACTGGGGTTTCCCCATTTGAGGCCTCCCTGGGGTATCAGCCCCCGCTTCTCTCTGTGTCGGAGGGGGAATTGTCGGTTCCTTCAGTCCAGCACCACCTGCGGCGCTGCCGGCGGGCATGGCGCGCCACCCGGGCCGCCCTCTTGAGGACCGCTGAGCAGAACAAGAGACTTGCGGATCGCCGGCGTGCTCCGGCCCCTGCATACCAGGTCGGGCAACAGGTATGGCTGTCTGCGAAATATGTTCCTCTGAGGGTCGAGTCTAGGAAACTGGCTCCACGCTTTATCGGGCCCTTCCCCATCCTGGCCGTGTTGAATCCTGTGACTGTACGTTTGTCTCTTCCCCGTTCCATGAGAATTCACAATGTCTTTCATGTGTCCCAGGTGAGGCCTGTCCGGACCAGCCCTTTGTGCCCGCCCTCCGGGCCCCCGCCACCCGCCCGGATTATCGACGGCTCGCCGGCGTATTCCGTATCGCGGATATTGGATGCCCGGCGCCGCGGTAGGGGCTTTCAGTTTTTGGTGGACTGGGAGGGGTACGGTCCGGAAGAGCGTTCTTGGGTGCCGCGGTCCGCGGTTCTCGATGCTGCCATGGTGAGAGACTTCCGCCGCAGGCACCCTGATAAGTTTGCTGGGTCGCCGGGAGGCTCCCATTAGAGGGGGGTACTGTCAGGTTCGACGGTGCCCCGACCGGCGACCTGTGTGTGTGTGTGTGTGTTTGTTCTCCCGCTCTGTTTTTGTCTCCGTTGTAGTTGTTACGCGGTTGCGTAGCAACGGGAGATGTCCGACCCGGAAGTTCCGCCACTCTGAGTGGTCCCACCTGCAACTGATTCCTC